TTATATGCTTAAATTGGGCGGGTGCTCCCGCCGGACCTGAGATCAAAAGGCAAGGCGCGACGTACCTCCACAACTCGAGGCCGACATCCCCAACCGCAAGCCCACCTCAAGCTGATGGGAGCGAATGGAAGGCGGCGACCACACAAACCGGAGGGACGACCTTACGTGTCGTTTTTAGGTAAACCAAGACCACCACCCACAAACGGGTGCTGGAGGGCAACAACAGGGCGGAGCGAAACACACCACTCTGGGCTTCGGCCCCCACAGGCCCGCTCGGAATGCTCTCCAATTCCCTTCCACTTAAGGCTATCGACGCTCTCCAAATGGGAAGCGAGGGAAGCCACGACCACGGACCCCACCACTCTCCGAAACGGAACGTGCTGAGGTCATGAGGAATCCAATGATGCTCAGGCGGGCGTGCCCTCGGCAGAAGCCTTGGGCGCCACGTGCGTTCAAGGTATCGATGGCTCACGGATTTCTGCAATTCACATTCAGTGTCGCATTTCGCTGCGCTCTTCATCGTTGCGAGGGCCAAGATATTCGTTTGCCGAGAGTTCAATAATATGGTACTATTCGGACAGGACCGACCCCTCGACTAGAACATAAGGGGGCCGTCAACCTGCACAGCGACAAATCATAGCAGGTACATCAATAAGAAGTTGCAAAGCCGTCGCCACCAGCTGCTGCCACGGGCCCGCCCGACCCCCCGTTCAGGGGGCCAGGCAGGGCACCGGGGAGCAGCGGGGCAWCGAGGGTGCAAGCGCTGTCTCCTCCCCCCCCCCAACCCGACACCACCCCGTTCAGGACCAAAACCCTCCCCCAACGGCCCTCCACCCGAGATTCAGACCACCTCGACTGTGTCTAGGACGACGATCTTTCCGGAAAGGAGAACCCCGTTGGGAACGAAGGCAGGACGAAACGGGGAGGGGCCGAGGACCCCACAACACACCCCGCCCCTGGCCTGTACCACGACCCGCGATCCCCAAACAAGCCAGAAGCTCCGCACGAGCCGAGGTCGAGGCCGGGATGGAAAGGAGGTCTGGACAAAGCTGAGACGGGAAGGAGCGGGGGTAAGCAGGCCGAGGACAGCCGCCACCATCCGACATCCCTCCCCTGACCCTCCCGCAAGGCTGTCCGTGCCCGGACCAACCGCCATCCCGACCAGAAGTCGAGAGTGGGGCTGGGCCGAGGTAACAACCTGCGGAGGCGACACGAAATGAAGGGGGAGCAAAGCCACAAGGCCCTGGACCCTGCCCACTCCCCCCACCCTCAAGCTACACCACGCGCCCCTCTGGGCCGGGCCAGCCGCCAGCTGGGCACTAAGCCCAAGATGGTGCTGAAACGGAAGAGAAAAGCGGATGCAGGGAGGATGGGGGCA